AGGAGAGATTCCTTTTTCCATAGAGTCCGTCTTCTAGCTGTTGTTCAAGTATTCTGGACTGTAGAACTTTACTCTGTTTGTCTTCTAGTGCTTGTTTAGGAATTCTGGACAGGTTCTTCAATTCTTAGAGGTCCAGACTTTGTCTTCGAGTCATTTGTTCTTGAATCAGCATAATTATCTTCAATCTAGCCGTTGAAAATCAAGAGATTGATTTTTCCTTACCAACGGGTAGAATTTCTTCATTCAAGACTTAGATAATTTTCTAAGTCTTTTCTCACTTGTCCGCTTTTTGAGAATTCCGGTCTTCCCTGAGGCATCCGGTTCTTAGCTGACAAATCCGGAAGAGTCATACTCAGTCTTCCTGGTGAGAAGGAAATCCGCGCTAGTCTTCCGACTTAGCCTTCAGCGGGTTGTAATGAGACATCCGGTTCTCATGTAGTATTCCGGATAGGAGGATTTTCATCTGCTTTGAGAGATCCTTACTTGTCTCTGACATTTCCGATCAAGATATCCAATTTCCAAATTCCTGAATTTGATTAAGTCTTCAGGAATCAAACCGCTTAAAGAAATATCAACACTTTATTGGAAATCTCAAGAACTTGGTTTTAACAATATTTCTAAAGGAAAAATTAAATTGAATATCTAGGGAGACCTAAAGTCCCTATTACATTCTAAATACATCATCATCAAAATCTATGATATTTTTCCCAACAGAAACAATCTTGGATATCTTTCCATAGTTCTACAGCTACCTCCACTTGTGTGATAGAGTTTCTCAGACTACTGGCAATGGTATTGTAAATCCATGAGACCAGCATGACATTTACAATCCACCATTCTTCATAATTTTCATCTCCCTCTTCTGGACAAGGGATGGATCCGTCAATGAATCCAATTTTCCGTTTTGCACGGAATGCAATTCTCATTGCACGGGCCCATTCTTCATCATTATCACCGTTTAGTTTGACTTGGGTGATAATTAATCTGGGTGTGTCTGCGTTCTTGAGTAAGTAAGAATTTCCCTTCGTAGGGATCTTCTCCTCCTCATCGAAGATCTTTCTGATGAGATTTTCCTCTGCATCTTCCATGTCGACGGTCGAGGAAGATGGTCCGGCGGAAGACGGGCTTGATCCAGCAGCGGACAGCGATGGACTGTCGTTTGTCTAGATTAGGGTTTTCCCTAGGAATCTTGCTCCGATACCATGAAGAAAGGAATACAAATCCTACCAGGACACGAATCAATAATCAAACTAGGAAACAAATAAATCAAGAGCAATCCCAATTAGGATGGGATTCGGTCATCTCAGGATTCTGACTTCTCGAGATTCGGATTTCTCAGAATTCGGACCTCTCGAAAATCGGATTTCTCGGAAGTTGGACTTCTCCAGATCCGGACCTCTCCGGCCAATATTAATGCTTATCATGTCAAAGAAAACAGTATATCATATTTTTAATAGAAAAACTGTATATATATATACACACATATATTTAATGAAGCTAGCTTTTTATTGATTAGCGAAAGAAAGGAAGCATTACATCAGCTGTGATTGCTCCCTGAACATGTGGGGGAGCAATGAAAAAAGAAATACAAGGAGTAAAAAGATTATGTTGGCTGGCCCATTTGGCCAAATGATGGGCTCCCATATTTCCCTCTCGAGGTATGTAGGAGATCTTTTGACCCGAATGTGAGAAAGCATGGAGGAGAGTTGTCCAAAGTTCATGGTTGACTCCTGGGTTTTTGCGGCTTGAAATTGACTTGGCTAGACTTTTGCAGCCAGTGTTGGCCTAAATATATCTTCCAAAATGTGCAGCCCATTGTATGCCAATGGCTAAAGCTTTTGCCTCACCTTATAAGGCAGATGTTTCTTCAATCTTCCATGTTCCCGCTGCAATGAAAGTGCCATTTCCTCTGCGTAAAACTGTACTAGCCACCCCGTAATTTTGATTGATTGCAACATCTGTGGAGAGGTGTAATCCGCTGTCCGAGGTGTTGGTCCACCTATGGACTCTAAGGGAGGGGTTCCTTTGCTGCGAGAGCATAAGTTCAGGAGGAAGTCTCCAAGCGTCAAAGTACTTAAGCTTTGAAGGAGCCCTTCCAAGAACCCACTCCTGTACTTGGGCAATACAGTCTTGAAGTAGTCTCCCCGACTCTTTGCTGCTGTTTTCATGGATGCGCCGGTTACTTTCCTTCTAAATTTGGTGGGAGATGATTCCAGGTATGATACCTTTGAGCCATCCTTCTAGAGTTTGGTTGTGGTATTCTATCCACCATTTGTGGAGGTAGGCTCTCACACCGTGTGTTGCTTGCCACTGTATTTTAAAGATCCATTCGAAGTAGCTCCAAATGGGTTTAGCATAGGGGCATTGAAAGAGAGCGTGATAGTCTGTGTCACTATCCCTTTTGCAGAGATGGCATATGGAAGGCAATGAAGTTATTCCAAATTTCCTCAAGTGTGCAGGGAAGGGTAGCAGTTTCTGGTAAAGGCGCCACGGGAAGAAGGAGATTTTTGGAATTTGCTTCATGTTCCAGATGATTTGCATATGTTGGAGAGGTTCTGCATCCTCTTCCTCTTCCTCAGGTTGGATTGCAAGGTAAGCTTCTTTGAAAGTAATTTGCCTATTTCTGAAAAAAGCTTCTTGGTCTTCTTCTCCTGAAAAAAAAATTAGTGGCTTTTTTAATGAATAGAGCAAATTCTTTTCCATATGGTAGAGTCAGTAATTTTAGGGGTGAAGTTGTTGTTTCTAGGATATCTCTCTCTCATAGAATGGCTCCAAGTGGAGTTGTTAGCATGATAGTTCCATCAGAGTTTGAGGGTGAAGGCCTCTTGGATAGCATCCAAGGATCTGACTCTTAGACCTCCCTTGTCTTCTGTCAAGCAGATTCTGTCCCAAGATGCCCAATGATAGCTGTCTTTCCCTTCTGTGTGACCCTAGAGAAAAGTGCACATCTTGTTGTGAAGCAGATGGATGATAGATTTAGGGAGTTTGTTGACTGCAAGGGTGTGGAGGGGAATGGAATTTAGGTTGTGTTTGAGGAGGATAAGTCTGCCACTGTGGCTGAGGAGTCTGCCCTGCCAGCCCTTCAATTTACTGTTAAATTGATCAATGAGTGTTTGGCAGTAGTGAGCTCTGTTAATCCCTCTAAATATTTGAACACCCAAATATTTGAAGGGTAGAGTACCATGGTTCATTCCAAGGGTGCTGCACATGTAGTTGGTTCTGTGGTTGGGAGTTTTAGGGGGGGTGAAAAAGTTGCTTTTATCCATATTGACATTTTGACCTAAGCACCTTTCATAGTTCCTCATGAAGTTGTGAACTTGTTTAAGATTAGGACCATAGCCATTAGTGAAAAGAATAAGATCATCGGCAAAAGCAAGGTGGGAGATAGGATGGTAGTTTCTTCCCAAGTTGTAGCCTGCAATTTTCTTGGTGAGGACAAGGTTGTTCAGAGTTCTACTGAAACCTTCTGAGGCAATGATGAAGAGAAAAGGAGATAGGGGATCTCCTTGTTTTAACCCCTTGGAAGTCTGAAAAGGTTTGGTATTCTTGCCATTGATGTTGATAGAGAGAGAGGCAGTGGCCAAGAGGTTGTGAATAAGGTGTGTTGTTTGGTTTGAGAATCCAAATCTCCTCAAGACTTCAAGTAGATAGTCCCAGGACACTCGATCAAAAGCTTTAGACATGTCCAGCTTGATGGCCAGATTTCCCCCCTGCATTTATTAGCAAGGCCATGGAACATTTCTTGGACAATGAGGATCTGATCTTGAATAAGAGTGTCTTTCATGAAGCCAGCCTGTTCAGGGCTGATGATTTTGGGTAGGAGAGGGGACAGTCTTGTAGCCAAGATCTTAGAAATGGTTTTGGCAATGAAATGATTTCCCCCCTGCATATACACACACACACACACACACACACACACACACACACACATATATATACACACACACACACATATATATAAAGGCTTTTTATTGAAAAAAATAAGAAAGGAACATACAAAGGCCAAGGGTGAAAGCTCTAGGTAGCTTTACCCCGGTTGATACAATGCAGACCAAAACTAGTAATAGGATTGAAATAAAGAGTAGTTGTATCTTCATTGTTTGCCCAACACCAGGTTTGTAGGGTCCTGTTAATTTGACAACGAACACTGCTCGGAGAGAAAGGTTTTCCATCATGAATGCACTTGTTATAGGCCTTCTAGAAGTGCCATATTAACAAGCCAGGCAGGATTAGTCTGAGTTTCCCTTTGAGGCAGCTTTGGTTCGAATTAATCCACCAGTTTAGCAACTTTTGTCTAAGGTTATGAAGTGGTCGTCTAGCAGGTCCATTACTAAGGATAGCATAGTCTCGCCAAATTTCATGGAGCACATGACAGTGGAGTAAACAATGATCGAGACTGGCAATGTTTCCTAGGCAAAAAGGGCAAGGGGAGGGAGAGATATTCATTTTCATCAATTGTTCGTGGAAAGGAGGAAGACCATTGAATGCTTTCCAGGTGAAAAACTGAACTTTCCTCATTTGCCACTTGCTCCAAATGAAAGAGCAAGACATGAGCTTGGGACTGTTTATAGTGCATGCTCTATAGGCCTCCTTGAAAGAAAAGCTCCCTCTAAGCCATGTGGTTACCCCATCTGAGTTGTTGGTGTGAAGAAAGCCCATGCTTGCAGCTTTGCAGATCCTTTTCCATGAACAAGAGTCATAAATCTTGGCTCTGAAATCTTCATTTCTCAAATATTTCTGCCTCATGTAGTTACTCCAGATAGTACCTCCTTGTTGTACTTTCCACCACATTTGAAGTGCAGCTGCTGCCTGAAGATCTTCAATGCTCTTGAACCCAAGACCTCTTTCCTCCAGGGAGTAACAAAGGTCTGCCCATTTCCTCCAGTGATGTTTGTTCTTTGTCTCCCTACTGCCCCATAAGAAATTTGCCATCATTTTGTTGAGACTGGTGATGACAGATTTGGGAAGATCCTGGACCAGTAGTGTATGCATTGGAATAGCTGAGAGCACATGCTTGATAAGGACATACCTGCCCATTTCCTTTCAAAGTGTAGCATCAAGTCAGTGCAGTCTTTCTTTCTAAGCTTCCCTTTGTCAATATAGGAACCCAAGTATTTAAACCTGCCAGAGGATGTTTTAATGTTTGTAATACTGGAAATAAGGGATCTTCTGTCTCTAGACAGCTTTGGATGAACAATGATCTGGGATTTGGAGAGATTAATACTTTGACCAGAGGTTAGCATGAAGGTTGAAAGGATATGTTGGATCTTGAGAAGATTCCTGCTTTCGCCATTTGTAAAAATAATCAAGTCATCTGCATACAAAAGATGAGAGGGAGATTTAATGAGACCTGTGTGGAAGGGCTTGATAAAACCCATATTCATTTGGTGTTTTATCTCTTGGCTGAGACCTTCCAAAGCAATAATGAAAAGCAAAGGAGAAAGGGCATCTCCTTGCTTAACTCCAGATTTCATTGGAAAAAACCCCCTGGGAAGCCCATTTACTAGTATGGAGAACCAAGTGCCTTTGAGAACACCCATAAGCATAAGAAGACTATGCTGGGTGAAACCAAACTTAGAGAGAATGGTTTCCAGAAACTCCCAACTGAAGGTATCAAAAGCTTTGCAGAGATCCAACTTAATAATGATATTGCTCTCTCTATAGCCAGAGGCTAACATGTGAACCATCTCCTTAGTAAGTAAAATATGTTCTTCAATACCCTTACCTGTCTGATAGGCTGTCTGATAGGCTGCCTGCTCTTCAGGAATGAGTTTATGAAGTAAGAGTTTGAGTCTGTCACTAAGGATCTTGGTAATGATCTTGCTAAAGAATGTAGAGAGAGATATTGGCTTATAGTCATCAAAGCTAGTGCAGGTGTCCTTCTTAGGGAGGAGTGTGATGGTGGTACTGCCAAAAACTTGAGGGATGGGGACTCCAATGAAATATTCTTGGACAGCTTTGGTAACGTGGAGATGAGTGGTACTCCAACAATGCCTGGAGAAAGTTCCATTAAAGCCATCGGGACCTGCTGCACTAGATGCAGATAGCTTCCAAATAGATGATTTTATCTCCTCTTCATTTGGAATTTTGGTAAGAGATAGGTTATCATCTAGAGTAATATTTGTGTGGATATGTTCAAGGGCGTGATTCAACTGTCCCACAGGTCTAAACTTGAAGATATTTTATTTTTATTTTTATTTTTATTTTATTTTTATATTTTTTTTATTTCATTAAAATTCAATAGAGTTGCAAGGTCCAAAATACATCATTCATGCCTAGAAAATGTGAAAATACCCAAGCTAAAAAGCTGTGATTTATATAACAAAGAAGTATCTAAATGCTTAGCCCAAAACCATTGCTGGAGGATCTGATTTGTAGCAGCCATAAAATACTCTTCTTGTTAGAAGAAAACCACCAACTTAACAGCACCTGCTGCAAAGAGAGAGGGGCAGCTGAAAAGGGAGCCTTGGCAGCATCTGCATAAGCTTTTCAAAGACCAGAGATCTCCCTGCAGTAAACAAAAACTGTTAGACAAGACGTGCAACTCTAGAGGGGGGGTGAATAGAGTTGTTGAGAATGTTTACCGATTTTCGCAGGATTAATAATATAAACGTAAGTGCAGCGGAAATAAAATAGAGAAGGGAAAGAACACACCGATGTATACTGGTTCACCACCTCGTGGCTAGTCCAGTTCCCCGAGAGACTCTCTCAAAGCTACCACTACTTTCGTTAAGCTTACGGGTGCTTAACAAACCGGTTACAACTCGAGAACTTGAATCCCACAAGCCTCGACACAACCGCTCGTAGATATGCCCTCTACAAGACTTCACAACCAAGACTTAAGTCACATAAGCCTTGAACAACAAGAAGAACAATCTTCTTCAACCTCTCAGCAATAACTCTCACAAGAGTAGAAATGAGAAAAGATTAAGCTCTATGGATGACAAGAACACTCTCTTGAAAACACTTAGTTTTCTCTCAAAATATATCAATTTGAGGAAGAAATGAATGGAGGATTATAACCTCAAGATTGGGGGATTTTAGGAGTGCTTGTTCATTAGAAAAATGACCAAGGAAGAGTGTTTAAATAGGGGTTGAAGGAATATA